AACGGCAACACGGCACCGGAAAAGAAAGGGCCCTGTCGTTTCCAGGGCCCACCGAGCCCACCACCACCACCACCACCACCACCACCACCACCACATCAGAATCACCGCCATCACCAGCGAGGCGCGCCCACTCCTTCATGCTCGTCTGGCTCCGCTGCGCGGCCCGCTCCAGCGCCTCGGCGGCCAGGGCCAGCGCGTCGCCCAGCGCCAGGCGCAGGCTCTCCTTCACGGCCAGGGCCTCCGCCACCCGCTCCTTGAAGAAGTCGTCCTCGTTGAAGCGGTCCGCGGGGTGGGCGAGGACCTCCTCCAGGCGCGCGGGGAACGCGCCCTCCACGGCGCGGTGGATCAGGCGGCCCTCCTCCTCGGTGGCCTGCGCCGCCCTCGCCAAGACCTCCCCGGCGGCCGCCGCGAAGAAGCCCGGGGACAGCCGCACGAACGCCTCCCAGGCCGCCCTCTCAGCCTTGCTGGCGGCGTCGTGCTCCGAGCGCCTGGCGCGCTCCGCCCTCACCCTCTCCAGGGCGTCGGCGGCTTCGGCGGCCCTCTCGGGCCTCTGCGCGTCCTCTCGCGGGGGCGGGGGCACGATTTCTGAGGAGGATCGATGAGGAGGAGGGGGGAAAGGGAGGATGATCGATGAGGAGGTTGGGGTGGAGGAGGAGGAGGAGGAGGAGGAGGAGGAGGAGGAGGAGGAAGGAGCCTGGTCTGTGACCACCGCCCGCGGCAGCGAATCCTCGGGGACCCCGGCAGGCGGTGGCCATGGACCTGAGCCTGACCCCCGAGGGCCCGACCAGGAGGCCAGTCTTGCCGCCGCGCGCCGAGGTCCCCGAAGACCGATGCCACAGGCGGTGCCTTGGGGCAAAGCTTTCGCCCTGCCCTGGATCCTCCTCCTCCTCCGCCTCCCCTCCTCCTCCTCCTCCTCCTCCCTCCTCCTCCTCCTCCTCCTGTTCCTCTTCCTCCTCCTCCTCCTCTTCCTCCTCCTCCTCCTCCTTTTCCTCCTCCCTCCTCCTCCTCCTCCTCCTCCTCCTCCTCGCTGGATCCTCGGCCCCGGCGAGGCATCTGAAGAAGGCGCCGTTGACCTCCAGCACCACCGCCCAGAGGTCGGAGTTCAGGTAGTGGTAGCACTCCTGCTTGAGGTTCTCGCACATGCCGACAACCATCTTCTTCCGTTTGCCGATGACGTCGTCGATGGTCGGGCACGTGAGGTTGAGGTTGAGCCGGATGGACACCACCAGGGCAGAGCCGTCCACCTTCGTGCCCAGCACCTCCATGTTCGTGAGCGGGGGGAAGCACAGCTCCGCCTCGTGCGGGTACTGGGAGATCCACGACAGGTCCGCGCCCTTGTCGATCATGCCCGTCTGGATCTCCAGGATCGTGCCCGCCGCGCCGCCCGAGTACTGCCTCGCCACCTGGCGGTCGACGGTCGTGCTGAGGAAGCCATACTCCACCCCTCCCTTGACCCCGGTCGTGTCGTCCTTCACCCAGAACTGGTTCGGGAGGCGCCCCCCGGAGGTGCCCCGGTAGACCGTGACAGCCTTCGACACCTTGCTCGCCTTCACGAGGGCCGACGCAAGGACGTGGATCGTGGTGGGGTACCTTTGTTCCAGCGAGATTTTGCGAGAAGCAGGAGGAAAGTGCGAGGCGGGGATTTATCCATATTCACCGCCTGGGAACCGACGCCCTGGTGCCCCCACGGGCGGTGGATCTGGTTTCATTTTGGCCCCCGAAGCCATATATATATATATATATATATATATATGTGCGTATATATATATATATATACATATTAGTATTATTATTAGTATTATTATTAGTAGTAGTAGTATTATGATTAGTATTATTAGTATTATTATTATTAAGAATATCCGTATTACTATTACTATCATCATTCGTACTATTAATAATATTATTATTATTACTATTATTCGTATCAGTAGTATTATTATTACCATTAACATTATCAGTATTGTTGTTGTTATTACTATTATTATAAATATTATTCTTATTATTATGTTATGTATTTAAGGATTTATGTATTTATGTGTTTATTTATTTATGTGTTTAATTACGTATGTAATTATTTATGTATTTATCTATGAATTTATATATATATATATATATATACACACACACACCTCTTCCTATTGCTTTATAAGCCCGGCCAGGGGGAAATTCCGCCCCCCCCCAAAAAAAAAACGGACTCCCGGGATCTGGGGCTTCCAGGACGGCCCCAAAGAGGCCCCCAAGAGCACTCCCAAGAAGGCCCCCCGAGGCAAAAATCATTAATTCTCCATTGGTTTTTGATAAATTTCAAGGTTCTCCTCTTTTCGGCTTCCCGACGATCCAAGACGGCGGTCTTCTGGCCGTCCGAAGCCGCCTGGTAGTCTCCAAAATCGCCCCACAACCATCAGAAGGCTTCCAGGCAGTCCAAGAGAGCCCAAAAACGGCACAACACGGGTCCAAGATGGCCCTCAGAGAGCCCCATGGCGGCCCAAGATGGGCCAAAGACACCCTCCGAAGAATTCCAAATCGTGATTCGGTCGTTCAGGGAGACCGCGGTTGGAGGCAGGGTGGCCCGAGGAAGCCCCCGGAGGCCCCCAGAATACGCCCAGGTCTCCAGAAGGCCTTAAGAAAGCCTGAAACAACTTTTGTGAGGCCCCTAGAGGCTCTCCAAGGAGGAGCCTCCGCAAAAAAGAGCAGAGGAGGATGGGGAGAATGCGCAGGGCATGGCGAAAAGAAGGAAAAAGAAGCATGGAGGAAGGATAACGAATAACATCATTATAGCGGCGATGCCAGAAAAGGCAACCAGGAATTATCGTTAAATTGTCGGCTTGACCTTCCTGCTATTCCGCCTGCATTCCAAGCTTCAAGGACCAAGGTGCATGGCGCGAAGCGCCACTGCAGTCTTGTGAATATACATATATATATATATATATATATATACATATATATATATCCATATATCTATATATATACACACTAGAACCACGCGCTTAGCGCGCGCTTAGGTTCTAGCCGTGGCCACGGAACAACTCCGAAGACGGTATGAGCAGGCACAGGGCCAAGTATGTGGCGTTAGCCCAGAAATCCGACCTCCTCCCCGTCCTCCTCCTCCCCCTCCGCCTCCTCCTGCCTCTCCGCCCCCTCCTCCCCCTCCCCCTCCTTCCCCCCCCTCCACTTGGTACATGTTTTCGTACAGTTCCTGCAGAGCGCCGGGGCCCGCGATGGTGGAAAACAGCCTCCACAAGGCACGGCGCCCACCCGGGGCCGAAGACGGCGAAGAAACGTATCCAAATGGAGGCTCGAAGCCTGACGATGAACCCAGGGAACATGGAATCCTGCAGCGTTTCCCGCGAGACCAATACATGGGGAGGAGAAAGCACCAGCATGGCCTGTGGGATCTGTTTGTCGTGCACCTGTGACATGCATCTTGGGAGCCCTTCGGGGGCTTCTGGCGGCGTCTTGGGGGCCTCCGTGGCGCTTCTTGGAGTCTCCTTGGGGCCTGTTGGGGCCGAAGTCTCGAAAGGTCCGTTCGGATTCCCTGTCTGGGCCCCCGCTTAGAGCCGTCTTGGGGCTATCTTGGGCCGTCTTGGAGGCCTCTTGGGCTGCGTGGGTCCCTCTCGGGCTGTCTTGGGGCCGTCTTGGGAGCCTCTTGCGCTGTCTTTGGGCGATCTCGGGAGCCTCTTCGGCTATCTTGGAGCGTCGGGAAGCCGAAAAGGTGAGAACCACAACAAATCCTCAAAAGCCATCCAAAAACAATCATTGTGTTGCCTCTTGTGGCCCTCTTGAAAAAGCTTCTTGGGGGCCTCTTGGGGCGTCTTGGAAGCCTCTTGGGCCGTCTAGGGACTATCTTGAGCGTCTTGGACCGATCTTGTGGCGCCTCGGAGCCCTCATGCACATCTTGGTTGCGTCCTGGGGCCGTCTTGGAGGCCTCCTGGAGGCCTCCTGGGCCGGTCTGGAGGCCCCTTGGAGGCGCCAGGGCGGGGGTATTAAAAAAGGGGGCCCGATGGTTTTGAGGTGGGCGGGGCCCCTGGGCTGGGGACCTGGTATTCATCCACATTATTATTATGGTTATGATTATGATGATGATGCTGATGATGATGATGATGATGGTGATGATGGTTAGTATTATTATTGTTAGTTGTGCTGTAAATTATTGTTATTCGCATTTCTGATGTTATTATTAATAGTATTAGTATGGTTATTATTATTATTACTGATATTATTATTCGTAGTATTATTATTGTTGTTATTATGATTATTAGTATTATTATTATTACTATTATTATTATTACTATTAGTAGTAGTAGTAATATTAATAGTGCTAATACTATCTATAATATGTATATCTATGTATGGATATCCATATCAGTATCCATATCCACCTCCATATCCATGTTCATATCCGCCGCCTGTCGAGGTCCCCGAACATCGATCCTCCAGGACGTGGTCATGTACAGATTCCCGCCTCGGAGGAAAGCTGAGGGAAGGTCGGGCCTGTCCCCCATACAGGGGGGATTTTGGACGAACCATTAAATTTACCCCCCACATATCCCAAAATACTACACTTTTTAAAAAGTCACCAGACTATGTTTTGACAATTCTTGAATATTCCCTCTGCAGAGGGACAGGCCCGACTTGACCGATCCCCATCCCCAGCGGCGTGGCCTGGGCCCCAGTGGCCGGTTTTACCCCCCTAGATGGGGATATGGGCCGTTCCCTTCGGGCTTCGAGGGGTGTATCCCCAACCCCAGACCTCCGACGTCGTGATTTTTTCACAACGTCGACCCCCAGAGGTCTGGACCCCTTCCCCGGGACCGGTTTTTCGTCCTGAGTCGTTTTTTGACGGTCCTGAGGCCCGGTAAGGGTCCCCGGAGGTCGAAAATAATGAAAAACCTCCCGTCGTGATTTTTTCACAGCGCGAGGAGGTCTGGGACTGGGGTGGCAATTTGGTGGGGGTCTCGAAGAAGATGGGGATGGGGATGGGGATCGGTGAAACGATAGCGAATCCCATTAGCGTGGCCGATGCCCGGTCTCCGGAGGCCGCGCAGCGTCGTGCACGGGGCAGGGCGTCGGAAGCCCACTCCTGCAGAGGCCCCGGGCTCGGGCAGAGCGGGGGGCAACCAGGAGGACGAAGAGGAGGAGAACGAGGAGGAGGAGGAGGAGGAGGAGGAGGAGGAGGAGGAGGAGGAGGAGGAGGAGAGAGAGGAGAGGGGAGGAGGAGAAGGGAGCAAGCACACCCGAAAAAAAGAGACCACTCGCGCGCACGTGCGGCGAATTCGCTCCACATCCGCCCCGCGGACCCCTCGCGGGCCCACCCGGCGCAGATGTCCCACCCCGGATCCGGTTTTGACGGCCTCGCGGGGCCCGATTGACGGCCCCCAGAGCCAAGCAAAAACGAGCACCTTCCCGATCCCAGAACTTCGCTGGAGCCAGTTCAGGGCCACCAGCTGGCCCCCAGCTGGCTCCAAGGGCACCTGTTCTGCTTGGTCTGCCGGTCGGGCCCGACGGAGCCCACCTGCAGCGTGGCCGAGCGCTGCAGGGGGGCGCCCCCGGAGGCGCCCGCGCGGCCCGGCTCCTCGCAGCACAGATCGAGGAACTTCTGGTGCATCACCTTCCGGCGGGCCTCCAAAGCCGCGCACGGGGCGGCGCAGGGGAGCGGGCTCGCCGGCGCCGACACTCGCGCGCAGGCTGCCCGCGCCAGGGGGCGCGCGAACGCCATCGTTTCCCGTGTCGCGTGCGGCGCCGGCGGCTCGCGTGGAGCCGCACCGTCAAGTCGCTCCGTCATCTCGCGTCAGTAAGCCCAGACCCCCGACGTCATGATTTTTTCATGACGCGACCCCCAGAGGTCCAGACCCATTCCCCGGGACCGGTTTTTCGTCCTGAGTCGTTTTTTGACGGTCCCGAGGGCCGGTAAGGGCCCTCAGAGGCCAAGAATAGCGAAAAACCTCCCGTCGTGATTTTTTCACGACTCGAGGAGGTCTGGGGTAAGACCAGCTGGTTATCGTGTACGGCTGCTTTCTGGAGCTCGAAAAAAGAAACGGAAAAAACAAAGAAGCTTAAGTGGAAAAAAAAAAGAAAAGAAAAGGAAAAAAAAAAAAAGAAAGAAGAAAAAAAAGAAAAAAAAGAAAAAAGAAATAAAAACAAAAAAAGATAAAAAATAAAAAAGAAGAAAGAAAAAAAAGAAAAGGAGAGAAGAAAGAAAAAGAAAAAAAAAAAAGAGCCCGTTTTTTTTTTTGTCTTTCGGCGTCGCGCGCTCCGTCCGCTCGTATTGCCCCCTCCCCCCAGGCCACCCCTGCCCCTGCCTCCTCATCTATGGTCACGACATGGCCCCAGGGGAGCACCAGATGAGCCCAAAGAACCCCACTCCTTCCTCTACTCCTCCTCCTCCTCTCCTCCTCCCTCCTCTCCTCCTCCTCCTCCTCCTCAGTCCTCCTCAGTCCTCCTCCTCAGTCCTCCTCCTCAGTCCTCCTCCTCCTCCTCCTCCTCCTCCTCCTCCTCCTCCTCCTCCTCCTCGGTCCTCCTCCTCCTCCTCACCCCTCCGCCTCACCCCTCCTCGCCCAGCCCTGGCCCTCCCGCGCGCAACGGCCAGGGCATGCGGGCCACCGGCTTGCGCCGCTCGTGCGGCGGCAGACCGCGCGGGGACCGCGAGATGCCAAGAGGCCCCCCCCGCGCGGGCCGTCACCGCCCGACCCCCTCGAGCAATGACACGATCACGACGGGAGGCTTTCCACGATACTCTCCGGCCTCATGGGGGCCCTCTGCAGCCTGGGCCTCGGGACCGTCCACAGAACGACTCGGGATGAGAAACCGGCCCTGGGGAATGGGTCCCAAACCTGCGGGGGCTGACGTATGTTTGTCGGAGATGGACAGACCTCCCTTTAGTAAAACGTGGTTTAGTGAACACGACCTGACGCCCAAACCTGGCGGGCGCAAGCCTGGAAAATAACGGCCACGGCGCCATCTCGAGAACCGAAAACGGACAATTCACTAATCGACGTGTCACTGTTGGGGCTTCTGTCCACCCCCGAGTTTAAAACATGCTCGGGGTGCCCTTCTGCTCGAGCCGGGCGCCCTCGCCTCCTTTCGGGCCCCGGGGGCCCCTCGCAGATCGATCGGGCTCGGCGAGCGATGCAGGAAGAGGGGGCCCAGGGCTCCGGGCGGGAGCTTCTGCGATGCTGCAGTATATCCCAGACCTGCGACGTCATGCTTTCTTCAGGGCGGCGTCCCCGGAAGCCCCGACCCTTTCCCTGGGACCGGCTTCTCCTCCTGAGCCGTTTTCTGACCGGTCGCGAGGCCCGGCCAGGGCCCCGACCGAGGCCGCACACGGCCGAGAAGCCGCCGCCCTGGTTCCTTCTGCTTTGAGACGCGATCATTCTCTGGGATGGCTTCGCCGCGCCGGCTCCCACGGAGCCCCCCGGTGCCCGAGACCTCGGAGGCCCGGCGAGGGCCCCACTTGGATGGCCGCGGCGGTTGCTAAGTACTTAACATACTTACTACGCTAAGTTAAGTACTTAGTAAGTAGTTAGCGGACTTAGCTAAGTACTTACTCAGTCATTACTAAGTGGCCCACTTAGTAATGACTTAGTAAGTACTTAGCTATCCACTTATAACCAGTTAGCTAAGTGCTTAGCGCACTTAGCTAACCACTTATAACCGCTTATAGCTAGTTTGCTAAGTAGCTTATAAGTGACTTAGCGGTTACATTGCACTTGTTATCCAAGGGCCATGCACAGGGAAAAAAGGTAAATCCACGTCTTGAAAGAGCTGAGTTTGTTCGTTGAGCGCTGCAGCGCTACAAATTTTGCATTTTGATTTGGAGTCGGTGTCCTGGATTTTTGCTTTAAATATGAGAAGCGCTGCAGCGCTGCCTTCGGATTTATATGAACATGAAGCGCTGCGTGCGCTGAAGATGAAGCGCTGCAGCGCTGAATGTTGAGTTAAATGCATGTCTTCTAGTTGCACGTTGTTCGGATCTTCATTTTCGCCCAGCTCCGTTTGCAAGGAATTTGAATGCACATGTCAATTATGTTTTGTTGTATTCGTTGTTTTTCAATGGTCGCATTGAGCGCTGCAGCGCTCCAAATTTGATAGCACGTATGTTACTTTGCGCTGCAGCGCAAAAAATGGTTGTCGTCGTGATGTCGCATCGCGCTGCAGCGCGTGCGCGCTCGTGCTTCATGGGCCTCGGGCTGCAGCCCAGATCAACATTTTTGCTCGCAAGTTGCATGTCCATGCAAGTCGATGTTCACGCGCACGCCGCGCGACAGCTTGTCTCAAGCTGCGGCCGCGCGCCGCATCCGCCGTCGCGCCCGCGGGCTCGCACGTTGCATTCGGCGCTATATATAGCGCTGGCATGGCGCTGCAGGCGCGTCAGGAGGAGCAGATCTTGCAGTGCATCGAGGAAAGCAATTCCTCGGGGAGGTTGGCATCGGGGTGGGATCAACTGAAGGAGTTCCTGCTGGCGGAGGGGCTAGCGTATTACCAGCAGGTCCCACCGAACCAGATGGGCATCGACATTCGGAACCGCAGCGGTTCGTTAGTGAACCCTGCGCGGGCTCACAATTTAGGCGCGAAGATTTGCGCCCAGGGCTTCGTCTTGGCCAAGACGGCTGCAGCCGCTGCCTTCGAGGCCCCGCAGGGGGCGCAGCTGGAAGAGACCGCGATGGCGAACGACCGCCTTTCGCGGCTCAGCGGGGGTCGGTGCCCCCCGCTGGACTCATTGCGGTATACGTCAGTGGGCGGCTCCCACACGAACGTCTTCCTCCGCTGCGTGCTGGCCAAGGCGCCGACCACAGTGAAGGCGCTGGCAGACTCTCGGGACAACATCGACTCCGAAAAGCTGTGCGCGTTGCATCCGCAATTTGCGACGGCAGTCAAAAAAGGGCCTGACGTGGTTGATCATCAAGCACGCGGTGGCCAAAGTGAAGGGCCTCAAGAACTTCGTGCAGAGGGCTTTGAACGCCGACGTCAGGGAGGCGGTTCACGAGACCGAGATCATTCGGTCAGGCTGCAGCCTATCCCCACTATAGTATATAGCGGTATGTAGTAAGGACCAGGATGATGCACGAGGGGGGTGATGAGTGGGAGCGCGTTGGGGAGGAGGTGAGAACGAGAAGCAGGAGCATTATATCTTACAGTGCTGCAGCACTTGATCGGCTCGGCGCTTGCTGCAGGCAGGTGGGCGGATGCTCTTGGCACACAGCCTCGCTGAGGGTTCCAGCAAGCCCGATTGGCGCGACATCGCCGAGCAAGCGGGCCACGCGAACCCACCTTGCAAGGCGTGGATCGCTGACTTGTGCAAGTTTGTTGAGCTCGGGCCACAAAACGGAGAACTTCTCCGTGAAATAGATGAAGCCCTCAAGACCTTCACGAATGTGGACGTCTCGGGGCAAACTTTGATGTGCGGCTCTGAATTTTGGCGCAAGTTGAATTCGATTAAATGGGGGAAGCACCAGGAGTCGCACCCGTATGTCGTAGCGGCGCTCGTGAAGGCCAACTATTCAGGCGAGCACGTGGTGGATAGCATGTGCAGGACCATCCATAAGCTTGTCGGCGCCCCCTTGTAGTGACATGCGCTGCAGCGCATCTATGCATTGCGCTGCATTGTTAGAACTGCGTACCCACCCCTCCCCCCTCCCCACACACACGCACACACGCACCGTTACATTGCTTTATTCCCAAACGCAATCGCTGAAGCGATGGGCGGATCAAGGCAAACGAGATCGTCCACGTCGCGTCCCGCAAGGCGGACGTGGCTGCGGCCGACAACCTCATGGCCGACGCAAGGTCGCTCGTGAAGAGGTTGGATATCGGAGCGGAGCAGGGCTTCTTGCACATCACAAAGTTGGATGTCCGCTGTGCCATGTACCTGGTGAAGAAGCGAGCGCCAGGAGACCGCACTTTCGGATGCGTAGCAGATATAGCACAGGTATCTTCTCACGCCACCTTTCGTGTGCTCCTTGTTTCCCTCCCTCCCTGCTTTTCGCCATTCAATGTCGCTGCAGCGACCCTCCAGAGAGGTCTTCCTCCATGAGCTCGGGGAGCCAGCCCAGCTGCAGATGAAGAGCTTGGGGATCGAGTTCGGCAAGGCGGTGCAGACCGACAAGCAAGGCGATGGCGCACCCGAGTTCCCAGCGAGCGCCGATGCAGACGCGCCGCGCGCGGCAGCGTCGTCGGCCGCTGAGTTGAAGAGCAACGTCTTCCGCATGCGGCGTGCAGGGTTCGACGTGGGGAAGCACATCGTCCAGAAGAAGGAGGTGGATGACGTCTTCGAGGTGCTCTCCATCTCGGAGAATGGGATCACCGCTCAGAAGAAGTTGCACGGCGACCTGGCGGGCGAAGAGATCCCCATTGCGCGGCTGCAGCCACCCCGCCGCCCGCGCAGGGAGCAGGGAGGGGGGAGGAGGAGGTAGTAACTGCGATATTGTATTTCCTGTACTTAAGTTGCAATGGGTTGGTCGATGCGCTGCAGCGCACGGAGCAGTTAGCCGAGCGGGCGGATTGAAGTAAACATATTGCTCGAGAATTACAAGTTGACGTCCAGGGTGCAGGAGCAGTTGCCGTTCACGAAGGAGCACTTGCCGCCAGCCCACGAGGGTTGGGCGATGGACGCGT